CAAAACCTGTTTAAGAATTAACATTGTAAGAGACTTTAACAAATATCAGAAAATCAAACTACGACTTCTGTTGTTATACTTAGTACATGATCCTTCATTCCGATTCGTGACGAAATTAACACCAACAACTGGCCAGTGACAATTTTTCCACTTCCAGCCTTTATCAAACGATACACTAACAATGTTAGCAACCTTTGCATCGGCCACATCACCATCCCAGAAAGGAACCATCTCAACCACAGTATTCTTCACAACAAAGTTCCTTACATTGGTCTACAAAAGGAAACAAAAACAGCTAATTAGACAATAATAAAAAATAGAGAATAAATTTAAGAACTACACATAGTTATGAAAATACCAGTCTCAGCATATTTTCTTTAAAAAAATTTTGGCCTCTTGATCCTTTGAAAGCAAGCAACAGTGGAGTTGGTGAATTTGGTGCAAGTTCACCAAACTCTTTTGCAAAATCCGGTAGAGCCCAATACACCCAAACTTGGAGAACTTGTACAAACCCCTCAACCACATAAGAAGACTTCGTCAAGTCTTTCTCCTTAATAGACTTTAACAGGTTCTTGAAAGCCACTCGTCCCCACGAATAGTTCACAAAAGCATCTAAATCCATGATTAATCTAGCCATCTTATCCGGAGTGGGTGTTGATTCTCTCCTACCTTCAATGTAACCAGCATAGATGCAAAGATATCCCAACCTAATGCGATCCACCCGAGACCATGAATCGCATGCACCACAAGCTGCAACTAAATCATTAATACTTGGACCCATCTCCAAATTCACTTCTAGAAGCTCCCAGAAAGCTTTCATCTCATCGGTAACCTAAACTTCCGGAGTTTCTAGATTCGCTCTATACTCACAATTCAAACCAGTTAGATGTTCAAACTCATGAAGCGAAAACCTAACCGGTTTTACATCGATGAGACTCCATATCTCATACGGCTTCGCGGTGTCAAGCTGAAGACTAAGCATGTGATGTACCAAACTCGATGCCCATCCAAATTTTAAAGAGTGGAACTTAAGAAATACACCCAGCCTCGAGTGCCAAATCTCATTCAATTCATCTGGATGTAGTCTCCACCATCTCCAACCATAGCCTCAAACAGCTTTATATCACCTGCATAATACCCTTTTTCTGGAGGAGGTTCCTGGTTTTTTTGTATAAAGCCTTAGCGGGAATTCCATATCAGACGTCATCAGCAACAACCACAATCTGCAATTCAAATTATAATGGAGTTATAGTCTGCAACTACAGAAGTCAAGTCTACAATAGAAGTGTACAACAGAAGTCTACAACAGAAGACTACAACATGAAGTCTACAACAAAAGTCTACAACAGATGTCTGCAACAGAAGTCTGCAATAGAAGTTTGCAATAGAATTCTGCCATAGAAGTCTGCAACCGAAGTTTCCGCCGACATCTAAATCTACGAAAACAGTTTATAGGATTTTATGAAAAACGAGAAAACCATGTAAAAACCCAACCTTTGAGAGATATCGAAGTTGAAATRGAAGCGAAGCAAGCGGTATAACCAYATCTGGAAGAGAGAGAAAGAGATATAAAGTTAGTTTTACGATTCAAAT